TGAATAAAATGTGTTATTTTTCCTCCTTCATCTTTTTCGAAACATATAAAAAGAGCCTTGCAGAATATATGGAAAGAAAACTGATTCTTGCATATTTCATATTTTGACATCAGAGAGGCAGAGGTTGTCAATCATATATCCAACCTTATCTTAACAGTATTAGTAAACATTTATAAAGAAGATTACATAACATCAGCTAATTATGAAGTTTATTTCTGTCACACCGCACTTACTGCAATGAAAAACTTTTGTGATTCAGATTTGATGCTCGTAAGAAACGTGCTGGAACACGAGAGGAAAATGAATCACAACGGCTCATCCACAAACATAAGAAGGAACTCAAGGGAGCAGTAAGAGAGATCAGGAAAGATGCACAGTTCTTGTCAAGAGTCCAACTAAAGGAGAAATAAGATAGGTCAGTTTTTAACTTCATATCAATGTTTATTTCAATTTAGAAATCTCTTTTAAATATCACCCTAAAATATAGCTCAGACATTTGTCTATGTGATTACTTCACTTTTTATACCGGTACAATATACTTGCAGAGACCAAGAGAGGAATGAAAAGGTGAAGGCCATACACCAGATGCTAGCTTCGCAGGAGGGAGACTTCAAGGCATTGAATAGAAAAAAGAACTCTTTATAGGACACTACAGATTTCAATTAAATAACAAGTGAATATAAAAAATACAATACAATACAATACAATACAGTACTATACAATGAGTAATGATAATGACTTGAGATTATTGATTTATAATAAAACTGTATTGTTAGTACCTCAGTGTAAATACTCGCATCTGATTGGTCAATTAGCGGTCAACATTTTTGCCTGTACCTCACCTGTGCATCATGGGATATCATATTATTGACCGCTTATGTTACTGTACTACACTTGTGAATTATGGGGAATATGACGTCATAATGTTTACAGAAAAAACATGGTAGACGGACATTTCGTAAACGTTGATGAAAGTGATATTTTTACTTTGCTAGACGACAAGTATAGCAAAAATACAAAAAGAAACGAAAAATTAATATTAATTTACTAGTGAGTACGCAGTTATGTGCCAAGAACAGAGAGTTTAGCTTCCACTATCTTAAGATTTTCTTAAAACATTATTGCTGGCGTGGAGAAAAGATTGTGAAATGAAGCCATGATTGATGAATGTCGTCTATATGTGTATTATTAGTTTCTTCTGACTAACAAAACAATTGTAGACCTCTCCATTCGGTCAACCGTCAAAATCATATACCTCGACTGTAAACCTCGAAACTACTGTTGACCTCGACCTTCGGTCTCTGTCAACAGTAGTTTCTCGGTTTACAGTCTCGGTATACAATTTTGCCGGTTGACCTCTGGAGAGGTCAACAATTGTATATAGTGGAACATTAATGTATGTGGAACAGCTCCAAAAGTATTTGGTGATGACTTTTTATTTATTCATTCAAGCATGGAAATGTATTTTTGATGCAGAATCCATGTTCCTCAAATTGGATAAATAAATCTTCGGGGTTTTAGGTAAGGTAACAGGCACACTAGTGTTTAAGTACAAAAATATACAGTTGCCAGGACAATTTTTGAAGCAACAATTCCTGCTGATATTAGTCATACCAGTACCAGCTTAACATCTTATAGTCTATTAAAGACATAGAGGGTAAGATGTTACCTTTCCAGACAGAAAATAGAAATTAAGAGTATTATGAAGTAAAAAAGTAAGATGATTTAAGACTGATCCAGCATCAAGAAAAAGTTACTTTGGATAACTGGAAATAAATATTGTTAATTCTAATATGATACGTGACGTCACAATAGCTAGAACAATTGATTTACTGGTCTATATTGGAGTATGTATGTATGACCACTAAAATTCATAAATGCAAATAGTTGTGTTTCTTGTCTGTTTATCATATTAGAATCGTAACAAAGACCTTGATTTTATGTTTTATGTCAAATATATGACCTCAAATTATATTCTGGCCATTGCCAAAGACCTCAATCGCTACGCGATTTCGGTCTTTTAACAATGAACAGAATAAAATTTTTGGTCATATATTACGCCATAAATCATAAAATCTGGGCCTTTATTCCTTAATTAAGGAATAAACAAGATTTTACCATTTATGGCGGAAAATATATGTCCAAACTTTTTATTCTGTTCATTGTCACACCCGGTGATCGTGAAAATGGGACGGAGGGGGGAGCAAGCAATTTCTGGTAGAAAAATGAACAAATCTGCAAAAATTATTTTTTCAAGAAAAGGTTTATGATTTAATTGCTAAACGAATAGGTGCACGGTATGGTAAAATATGTCACGTATTCTACGAATTTTTTTTAGCCGATTCTCTTCTTAGGTATAAGATCTATTAAAAAGGCGCAACGCCACCAACGTGCAAAAGTCAATGTTTTTGCTTTAAATCAAGCATCAACGGTCTACACAACCTGCAATAAATATTTGTAAGTGACATTATCATCATAAAATTAATGACTTTACAAAATATGTTTCCGCACGTTGTATAAAAAATAATCGAAAATAATTAAAATGGGACGGAGGGGGGGAGGGGACGGAGGGGGGGAGCAATATGTCTATAAGATATGATATGAGATGTTACTTGATACTTTATATCCAGATTTTCCCATTATCTCCTCAATTACAAAGGGTCAGGAATTGATAACATGTTGTACTTGTTAGGTTTAGTTAGAGGGGTCAAATTAAGGTTGGCAAAATATTCCAGGAGACTGTTCATCTATAAATGTTTACCTGTCTTAACGTTTTTACTTGCTGATTTGTAGGCATATCATACACAGCACATCACACTTTGGACATGTAAGTTTCAGCGAAAATGTAAGTTATTCACAGCGAAGTAACAATCTACTTGATATTAATTATGCGATATATTTTAATTATGCAGAATTGAATAAATACAAGAAGCTCACGCGTCTCCAACTCACGACCTGATGGTTATGACGTCTTTGTCTAGCTGAGATTCTGGCGCTGTAGACTGCTCGGCCAACTGGCAATGCCACAAAAACATGTTCCATCAGCCGATCTGACTAGAGAATTTACACTTAATAGTCTGCTAGGAAGGTTCCCAGTGAATGTGCCACATTCATGCCATGGGTGCAATCCCTATTACGCCAAAGAAGCGTAACAAGTCATTTTTTTGAAAATGAAATAAAAATTTGTTAATTATTTGAAAATTGTTTTGTGTGCTTATTAAATCAGTAAGCCATATCTCATCCGGTTTCCATTGGGACAGGCTCAAATCGTTCTGATATCAATGTTTTTGCATGCTCAAGATTCTCTATTTTGAAGAAATACAAATGCATTGTCAATGTATGTTAATATTTTCATTGACCACATAACTTTAAATCTAAGCTATATAGTTTCTATATGCATGGATTGTCGCTTGGTGCTATGGTCCTGGAAAGTGAAAATGGAACTTGAATGGTTTGTGGTATGTTACATTGTTTCCTTCAATGTTTGATTATTGTTTGGGATAGTTTGGTTTGTTTTTCTTATGACTGGTTCACACGTAGATGTCTTCCAATGGCACTCGGGCATACATATTATTTAGATTCACCAACAACAATTTAGATACACCAACAATAATTAAATTTATTCCAAACGCCTGGGGAGCATGCAGACATGTCCCTAGTACTAAATAATCCAAGGTTATACATACAAGGTGGGCCAAAACGCCACTGTAACTTTTTTAATTTTTGATATGAAATCATAATATGCATACCAAATAAAACTTGGGTTTGCCATCTAGCCATGGATTATGAATTGTACACTTTTTCTTGAGTGAAATATGTAACCAGCGTTACCAGAGAAAATGGGAAAATTTGGATATAAAGTGAAGTAACATCTCTCATCATGTCGTATAGACATTTTACTCCCCCCCCTCCGTCCCCTCCCCCCCCTCCGTCCAATTTTAATTATTTTCGATTATTTTTTATACAACGTATGGAAACGTATTTTGTAAATTCAATAAGGTCATTAATTTTATGATGATAATGTCACTTACAAATATTTATTGCAGGTTGTGTAGACCGTTGATGCTTGATTTAAAGCAAAAACATTGACTTTTGCACGTTGGTGGCGTTGCGCCTTTTTTAATATATCTTAAGCCCGGTATACACCAATGGGGCAAAATCCCACTTGCCCCATCGAGTCCCATCTTGCCCCATCGAATCCCAATTTGCCCCATCGAATCCCACGAAGTCCCATGGGACCTTGATGACTTTGCCCATTCGTGCCCCATGGAGTTCCATCAAGCCCCATGGAGTCCCATCAAATCCCACCGTGCCCCATTGGTGTATGTCGGGCTTCACACAACACGTCATATGATCGAAAATCCCACGATGCCCCATGGAAAGAATGAACATGTTCATTCTCGATGGGACTCCGTGGGACTTTGCCCCATCGAGTCCCACGTGGGACTTCATGGGACCTCATGGGACCTCGTGGGACTCGATGGGGCAAGATGGGGCAAAATCCGACGGAGTCCCATGGAGTCCCACGGACTTCATGGGGCAAAATCCCAAAAGGTCCCACGAGGTCCCACGCAATGTTAAGTCTATGGAGGTCCCAACTTGCCCCATTGGTGTATACCGGGCTTTATACCTAAGAAGAGAATCGGCTAAAAAAAATTCGTAGAATACGTGACATATTTTACCATACCGTGCGCCTATTCGTTTAGCAATTAAATCATAAACCTTTCCTTGAAAAAATAATTTTTGCAGATTTGTTCATTTTTCTACCAGAAATTGCTTGCTCCCCCCCCCCTCCGTCCCATTTTCACGATCACCGGGTGTGATTGTTAGATAACCGAAATTGTGTAGATTCTAATTAATGATAAATAGACAAGAAAAATAACTATTTGCATTTATCAATTTTAGCGGTCATACATACTCCAATATAGACCAAAAAATCAAATACTCTAGCTATTGTGACGTCACGTATCATATAAGAATTAAGAAATGTAGACTGAAGAGCATGTGTTCTATATAACAAAACAGGAAGGGGAATCTTTGTTTTGATATTTTCAATCTACAATCTTATATTATTGTCTCAGCATGATTACACAAAAGCAAAATTCTCTTTTAACTTCTCTAAAAGTCAATCGTTGTGCCAGTATGCAATGGTTCAATTATAATCACATCATTTTCCATAACGTCTATTGCATTTAAATCATTTAGACACAATTGAAGCATTTCTCCTCCAAAAGTCCATTATTGCATTCGTGTGTGCCACAGAAGTACCAAAGTGACTTGTACGGACCATATCCTTGGTAGGTACAGACTCCACTGGTTGTGTCCACATCCAAAGGCAAATTGACCTGGTCCGCGCAACCTCGGTATATATCTAAACAGGAAATACGATGGCGTTACAAATATGTAAAATTCGCCTGCTCTATCTATTGTAAAAAGTCCTTTTAGAATGAAAAATATTATTTATACTTCATGATCATTCATAGACAAGGCACCATGTATACTTACACCCGTTAGGATCCTTCCTTATAAAGCAAGTTTCTGAATCACATCCGGGAGTGTCAACTAATGGAAAATCATGGCGCGTCTTCAATGAACATGCGCCAAATCCACCCGTTCCATTTGAGTCGTAGTTACAGTCGAAACAATGAACTGCAAATTAGAATATTCAAAGATTGTTGATAAATCTCATGTTTGTAAAAATACATGCAATCCCATGGTTTATAGTATGCTACAACGTGTGCATACTACATAGGTAGGCATAGAAATGACAAAATTAGAAGACATCTGTACAATTGAAACCCCAATATATCCTTTACCTATTCAAATATATCATCTCCCAAAAGATCCTAGTGTATTCCTTCATTCAACAATAGCCCGTTGATAGAAGTAGTTCCTACGAGTTCCACTGGCCCCCTTAGGTGGGTCCAGAAAAATATTTTGGCCCAAAGATTTATTAGTAGGGCCTCAATTAGTGGGCTTTCGGGCATGACTTGCCTTTTTTAGCCTTTTTGGCCAACGTATCAAAGAATGGGTCTTATTTTTCGAAATGTTGGCCAAATTTTGGGATTTAGGGGCCCAGATTATTATCTGATTTTAAATGTGCCCCCCCCCCCTCTTGTTAGCTTCAGGATCCGCTTGTGAGTTCTTCCACAATTTAGTAAATGTTTCCCAAACTTTCACTTTATTTGAAAGTATATCGGATGTCCCAAAAATGAGACACTTTTTGACAATTATTATCTCGGCAACTGATAAACCAAATTTACTGAAAATCTGTACAAAATAGCCTGAGAGTCTAAGTTGAAAATATATTATTAAGATCAAGAAAATATTCTGTAAGAACTATGAAATTCAAAATAGCAAGTCAAAAATTCCCATACCGGACCTGACATACCTCTTCTTCGCACGCTCGGGCTTCGCTGCGTTCGATAGGAGCCGAGTGATGTGTGATTCTTTTCATTCATCCCAAATATCCAAAATCCGATTCATTCTCAAAATTCATTGGAGATGATATTGTTAGAATAGATACGGAAAAGTATTTTTGCTTGGAAATGGATTGATAAGCGACTTTTACATTGATATTGGCTATTTTGACATACTGTCAATAATTCTAAAATACACAGATAATATGAAACCAATATCTTACATATTCATGTCACTAGCAGAGGATGCCCTGTTGCCCTCTAGTGCCTCGATACTCTTTGGCTACTTTGTACAAATCTTGGTGAATTTGGTTCATCGGTTGCCGAGATCACGGGATAAGCAAAACGAGGGCGAAGCCACGGACTGCGACTCGCGTAACTTTACACCGCAGCCCAGCGCCAAAATGGAGGGACATCCAACAGTGCCTTCTGCTTCTTTCGACAAAATAGAGAAATCTAGGAATTTTAAATGCTATCGTAGTGTCTAATCGGTGACCAAAATATTACTCTGTATCTACTGTTGGTCTGTAGATAAGAAAATAAGCAGTTGTCCAGATCAAGCTAAAACAGTAGCAAAGTTCTGATCTTACCTGTAAAATATGTGCATATTATTTAATTTACTATACATTTGAAAGGAGTTTTAACACGTTTCTGATATCTAAAGGTTAGTTGAGGCTCCGAGTATAATTCGTGAAAATGATTTGATAATAGAATGTGTTCATGAGGAGAAAATTAGATTCAAACTGCGCCTTCATAGTGGACGCAGTCCAGTAAACAAAGCTATTTCAACAACGCAACACAGCCTCCATTGATATTCTAAGCAACGCAGTCCAGCCGCGAACACGAAATAAATAAGATAGTGTAAACTATATTCCTACGCTATTATTGTTTCAGGAAAAGAAAGTCAGCATCCAGATTATCATTCAAAGTTACGTTGATTAACATATATCTATTACCTGAATCAATGTCCCAAATTGCTATATTGTATCGTTAAAGACCTAGAAATATGGCAATTCAATAGCGTATTTGGCAGAACAGTCGAGCGCAAGATGACAACGTAATATGTTTATTACAACACAGTGTACAAACCAATTTGTGGATAGGGTTAAATATATAGATAATTGGATAGTGGTGAGACTTTTTATAAGAAGTAGAAATGCGAGACAAGTAACTTTTTGATGATGCAATAAAAGCTGTTGGGGAAGGGTACATTAACTAGTATTTAAGATATCAGGAAAATATCAAATAATTGGAGAGTTGGTGAGTTAATGTAATTTTGGATGATCTTTCCAACAGTCCATCAATATTGCTAGCTACCATAAATTCATGATTTCAGCTGTATTTGACAGCTTGTATATATTTGCAGAATGGATTGAGACACGATGTAGGTCTATTAAAATAGCCCTTTATATTCAATTTTGTCCAAAGTTGCTCCATTTCGGCCACACCTGTACACACATTGTGCTATCTACCTTTGGCTGTGATTGCGTTCAGCTTCAGATATAAACACTGAGTTCCAATTTTCTATGTAATTGTACGTTTTCCGCTTACCAAATATCACACGAAGATGTAATTGTAACAACAGAACATGAATAATTATATTAATTCGATGTCATTTCTGATTCCTTTGTTTAAATCGGTATATTAGGGACAAATATTGACAAAATTACATTTTTTGTGGCAGATTTCGAATTCATTTGTGTTCATGCTAAACTATTGGACAGCCGAGCACCAAGAATGCCATTGCAGGTGGAGTATGAATATGTTGATCACCGACTGGAACATACTAGCTATTCTGTAGAATATCCAAACCAATAATCTACCCCAAATCCTAACATGCCTTCCAAATTAAGTTTGGACTTACCGCCATTGTTCAGCTATAATGCGTTGTAATCTCGTTTTGAATTACGCGAGTCGCAGTCCGTGGCTTCACCCTCGTTTTGCTTATCCCCGTGGAGATAATAATTGTCAAAAAGTGTCTCATTTTTGGGACATCCGATAGATTATTCATTTACCCATGTTAGTTAATTCGTAATTCTTTACAGGACATGTATACACAGACACAGCCGCAGGAACGGCGTTTAATTAAAACATGCCAGTATTACAAACCTAACTTATGCTCATTTTTGTGACAAATGTTGTAAAAGCCGTCATAAATACCTGTTTCAAGATAATATGTATGTAACTCAGTAAAATATGTGACTAAGTTTTTTAAAAGTGTCGACCAATCGCAAAATCTTAAAACCTATAATTATGGAGGTGTCTGATTTAACCTTCATTTACTTTGTGTGTGTGTTGAGAATAGCACTCTCGTATTTTATTTTTCAAAATATTACTTTACTGAGATTATTTTGTTTGGAAAATATATTCGCAAATAAATGAACACTAGGTGACCAGAAGAGGCTAGTTTTACTTCAACGCTTCAACTTCGTTTTTAAGGGTGAGTACGCATATAATAAATATATATTTACTTATTTAATTGTTTATTTCTAAAAAATCGTGCAACTAACTTAGGATTCAAGGTCTTTCGGATAAAAAACCTTCATCATTATTAGTGAGGAGGTTTTTAAAATGAATAATTAAGTAGAACAGTTCAAACTGGAATTTTGGAATGATTATTTAATTTGTTATATCTAACCTATGTATTAAAGTTAAAAACACTAAGTATTCGCTAGCCAAGTGTTTATGTTTATGTTTATTTATTATTTGAAATACACACAAAATACAATGATTCGACGTCAGATACTGTACATCACGGCGTAACAGTGTAATTGTTCATTTTACCGACAAAATGCAAAGATTTACGCGATAAATATGCGCAATGCTCCTCCAAGTAATTGCAAACGTTTTAATATTCGTGGAATCTTCTTAAAAACATCAAGTTTTATTCAGATTAATGTGCGCTTCAATACAATTCTATATTCAAAAAGGTTGTGTCACGATATACAGAATTAGAATCACCAGAAAGTAGACATTTCAAACCCTACCCGTTTTCTTCTTTGTCGCGCTTTTCGGCCCTGCGCTCTCGTTGTCGCACCGCCTTTCTAGACTCTTTCACAATGCCCTTTGTCATATTCAACTGATAAACACAGACGGGAAGATATTAAGGATTGTTAAATGCATTATTTGTAATTTATTTTAACTCGAGTATTTAGTTTTATTTATTTAAAGCAATGAATAATAAAGGAGAACATATAATACGCTAACGGCGTAACGTCTTATTTTGTAAAGGCTTCACTTGGGGTTGCGGTGATAAAACGATGTTTATCTCAATATATACTGGTTCAAATTAAATGAAATTAATTGTATGTAGTAAGGGGTATATTTAAAAGAACATGCTGAAACATTGGAAAGTTTTGAATGTTTATCCCTTAATTAGAAATATTTGAACTCAAAAAATGAAACGTAATTTTGTGAATTTTTCACATGGCTTCACTTCATATTTCTTTCAATTTATACTTCTTACAGACTGAATTTTAATCGAAATGATATAGTTTTTTGATAAAAATATAGAATATGATATGCCTTTCAGGAATCAAAAAAGAATAATTCACCTTTCAAACGATTTAATGTTTAATTGATCAAAATATATATCTCGTTGATACGAAATTCTGCCTGTCGACACTTTTTTTGCATAAATATAAGCGTTAAGTTAGCATTGTTTGTTTGTCTTTTCCAAAATGGTGAATTTAAATATTGTGAAAATTTGAGAAAGATCCGTTGGGAAATGAAAAAGTTATCTTCATTTTTCGTTTAAAATTAAAATCACTTTTCTTCAAAATGTTACAGTCGACACCCGGTTTTAGCATAGAAAGTCGCATAATACGGCTTGCGTGATTCTCATTTAAAAAGTCCCAAATCAGTTATTTGGAATTCTGATAGGCAAAATATTTCATGGACATGCGTGTTCAACTGATGACGAAAAATTGTAGAAAAATATGTTTTTGCTGTCGAGATATTGCGGTTTTAAAAGTAAGTACGCTTTAAAAATGCAGTAAAATGCCGCGATGTACAGTATCTGACGTCGTATCAATATATGAACTGGGTGACACTTTAAAAAGTGTATATTCCCAATATTTGGCAAAAATAATACATGTGTGTTGTCATACCTATTAAATGCAGTTGGGGACCTGCCTATGTATTCATCTATTTGAACGAAAGTATTGGTTTGTCACACCACATCATAATAGACCAAATGAGATAACGTTTTTGCATAATGTCAAAAGTGTT